AAGCCCGTACTCGCTATCAACCTCTTATCTTTCCCAAAGACCTTCTTTACTGCTTAAAGTGCAAAGCCGCAAAGGAATGCTAGACAGCGCGGACTCATTGTTTTCGTTAAAGGACAGATTAATTGATGTGGGCTAATTCAAGCATCGACTAGCAGAAGGCGCAGAGGAGAGGAAACAGCAAAACCCCATTGGATGAGCGCCGAAGTTACACTTTTTCCTTTTAACCCCACGGAACCTTTGTAGGCCGGTTGCCTTTGGTAAGGCGGTGAAGAATATTACCGCGCCACTTGGCGCACCCAAGTTGCAGAGGGAGTGACGGCCTGGCAACGCCCATGACGGTAATAAAACTTACAAACGAAGAAGCTAGGCAAGGTTTTACGGCATTGCGCGACTTGGAATTTGCAGTGGAAGTGTTTGGTAGCTCAGGTTATTAAGAAAAGCCCATATATAGAACTAATAATATAATAATTTAAATATAAAATAATAAACTTCAATAATTAATAATTTATATTTTTATTATTCATTGTATAATAGTATATAATTTATTTAAAAGAGCCACACGGGAAATGTGCGTTTGATTTATAAGTTTTGTACTTTCTTACGTTCATAGCCTGAGTGGGTTTTGGTATGACCTGAACGTAATCTAGGTTTGAATTGGGTTTTCTCCGGCGTACGTCCTCAAAAGGGCTCCCAAAATAATTGAACTTCCACTCATCTGTGTGCTCTCTCCTGTACCTTATTCTGGATACTTTGAACTTACTGAATGTTCATCATTACCAGCAAATAATTTGCTGCTAACCTAAATCCGTCAGCTTGGATTCGGACCAGTAGCCTGACCTCAACAAAGTAATGAGTTAGTTTCGAGTTGGTCGTTTGCAAACGACGATTATTTCACAATGTCACTTCCTAGGAAAACAGCCCTCATTTCTGATACACTATCACTATCCGAGTCTCTTCTTTACACGTATGAGAAATAGTTTGGCAGGTGAGAGTTTACGATGTCTCCGCTGAAAACGTAAGTATGACCTGGTCGGTGTGACGCAAAAAGGTAAACAGTAACACCAGATGGACACCGAATCACCATTACCGTTGCCAGATTTCGTAGGCGGTGCAATTGTTTACCGTAATAAATTGAAAGCCTGAGACATGAATGTTTAAGTGTAGTTTAACAATTACGAAAATATTCCTTCTTAACGCAAATGCTTTATTTTGTTTAAAGTCATGGTTTTGTCTTGTAGTAAAATATGCGAAGAAGCTGCTTTCTTTGCAGCAGGTATGGATAAAGAACCTAGTTAAGCATGCACCATTGGGAATGGCAAATTGTAAAGTCAAACAATTTTATCGCCGAAATGACGTCCATCTATCGATTATTTGAAAAAGATTTATTATGCTTGCTACCAGAATTACTAAAGTTTTTGCCGAGAAAATCAACTATTGCGAAGCTGGTAAATGTCTCCTTAAGCTTAGGTGGTAGAATGCAGGAAAGCATACCCTCGCCATCACGCTGAAGAAAATTCCTTTCGACTCTGCAGTGGTTATCTAAAATAGTTCGCAGCGTTAAAGAACGAACGTCCACCTTGTATCCCGTAGCACAGCGGGCGACAGGGCAGCGCCTAGCGAGTGAAGTTATTCCCAATGATAGAAGACAGGCGTAGCATCTATCACACCCGCTCTCCCGTAAACTCAACAGTGTCCGGCATTACAAATAAGCGAAGAAGAGAGAAGGTGGAATAGGATACAGTAGTTAACAACGTTCGGTAGATCGAGAAGAAAAAGATGCGATCGCTGGGACAACACTTTCATTCGCCTGACGTTTCGACATCAGTCGCAGATTCTTCATGAGAGACATTAGCTGAAAGCCACAGCAGAAATGGAACCATACAGCAGCCTATCTGCGCGAGCCACAAATGCCCGTCCCGCTCACAGTGGTCCAGCATTTCAAGAAAGGGATGGCTTGGCTCCAAGTTCATTCGAAACGTTCATCAAAATTGAAGGATACCCACATTCACTCATCAATTTTAATGAATGTAAACCACTCTTAGGTAGTCAGAAAAAACTACTAACTTGCTATTTCTCTAATGAAGACAGATCACACTGTCAGTCAGTCAGTCAGTATCAGTCAGTTTTTTTGGGGTAAATTACCAAAGCCCCTAAAAATTCATTGAAAAGGCTACAGGAATGCACAAAAAATAGTGAAAATGCAGGAAAAACTGTTACTGGTCGCTTTGGTATGCAGAAATGCCTGAAACTATTTATGGAATATGAATGTATAAAAAGTGAGACGTTTGCGAAACAGCAGCGTACAACACGTTTACTGTATTTCGTCTGTAAAATGTTAATCTGAACCAACTATAGTGTAAATAAAAGGTCTCTGAAAATCAAAATATGGCTTTTTAGCAATATTGGACAATGATCTAGTGGTCATAAGCTAAATTTAGTGGGGAGGAAACCTCAGAACTGTGTCTCAGATTTACCACAGGTTTCGAAAGGGACTCACGTCAAAGCAAATTACATACAATTTGAAGCATAGGTGAGCGAACAGTCCAGGGGAGTGAACTGCATAGGCTGGCCAGTTTTCCTGGTGGACTGCAGTAAAATATCGCACACATTTTCATTTAAGGTCACTAAAATACTAATGTGAAGCCAAAATTGCTCCGTCATCAGGATGTTCAAGGTTCAACGTACAGACCAGATTGCATTAATACAATGTAATGCTCTTTCGGCCTCACCAGATTCTTCGGGTGCACCTTGAAAGGTGGAACCAAAACAAGCGCCGCAAGCAACCACAACGGCGTGAAGACCTACGGCTATGACCCCTTTTTGTTTTTGGTTGTCCTTCCGCTGCCGGCCGTAGGTGCTACGTTGGGGCAGAGAAGGAAGGTAAAACCAAGATGACTGCTATAATAATACTAAATAGAGCTGGAAGAGGGGAAGGCGGCACGACACAGACTGAGTGAAACCATACCTACCAATCAAGTCTCGCTCCGTATAACCATTGATTTTCCGCATATTTGAAATGTTAGTTGTTTATTGCACATATTCTTTTAGTCCGAAGACGAGCTGCGGCACCAGACTCGAAAATTCACTAATTACATTTACGTTATATCCCAAAGAACGTTATCTTCTTCTTAAAGTTAAATTTTATTGGGATGCGTTTTTTGCCAATATTCTGCTTCTTTTTTGTTTTAATGGATCGACAAAATCAGCACTTGTAGAAAATCAATAATTGCGTGGTTTGGCTGACGACTCGCCGCTGCGGACTATGTCAGTCTGTGCTTGTGGGCGAGATTGGCGTGTTGGGTGGGAACATTTACAGAAATAATATCGTCAACGAAAACAAGCAAACATTTGCCTCAATTCGTCGGTCCAACTCTCTCATTTTTGAAATATTGGCCTTTTGTTCTGTCGTTTTTGTGCGGGAATGGTAACGGTGATAGCGGGGTGGACACCAATGAGGTTCTGGGACCTGCTTTTCTCGTTATGCCCATCAGTCGGTCAGTCACATAGCGGTTATTGGAATGTGCAGATGAAGCCCGTGGCTCAATAGTTAGAGCACTAGATTGATAAGCAAATGAGCACGAGTTCGAAGCGAAGCTGCCTCTACATTTTGGGTTGCGTGAAGCTTGCTGAAGACGGCTGGTAAGCCAAAAATGGTCACGCCAGTCTCTCTTTTCTTCGTCGTATACAATACTACATGCTTTATGAGTGCTAGTTAGGCTTTACATGGTGTCTCAAGGCACAACTGGCAGAGCCGGTCCTCTAATCCGACTGCTGTGCGCGGCATTAGCACAGTTTAATATTGAATTGAGCTTTTGACAAGATCTTTCAAATTTACTATTGAATAAATTGTATGTAACCTTGCATAAACTCGAGGGTGAATAATAAATCCAGCTATCCTACTTTTAATTCAAGCAAGCTAGGGACTCATTACAGACTTAAATCGAAATACTGCACTGGTATGCGGTTATATATTATTGTTTTGGTCAGTCGGTCTGGGCAAAACTACTCATAATTGCAAATAAATGCAAAGCACATCTGGAAAAGTTAGTTTTCCCTTCGATATTTTTACGGAAGGGCAAGCGTCCACTTTCAAGTGTCCTATTGTTTTCGCCATTAGGATATACTCGGAAGATAAAACGTGTTCTATAGTCCTACATGAAGGATGCCTAGTTTTTTGGGACTGCTAATGTAATTTGAAATAGGCCGCGCTATTTTGTTTTGATTCACAGAACTGCACTTATACCAAAAGTGTTTCCGACCCTTGTTTGCGAATATTGAAAGCCTTTTTTCAGTGTTTACGTATTTGGGTATGATGTTTCATATGCTGCGGGCTTTGGTGCCTATAATGCCTAACAGGCTTGACTTAAGCCCACTTAATTGTTAAAAAGTCCACAAGCCCTCATATAACTCGAAACTCGTGAGTCGTCGTGGAAAAACAGCATATTTCAACTCAAGCGTAAAAAGTGCGTTCAATTTAAAATCACATGTTCCAGTTTCAGTCAGTAACCCAAATGACATTATGAGAAACAAGATGTTGAATGGCGGTAGATGTAAATTCACCCACACCACCACCACCACCACCGCAGGCATACTTCAAATTGTTTATTTTAGAGACAACCCTTGGACCCGGAGGTAAGCGAAGAGACGTCGAATGTTGTTCACTGTATGTGTGTGTGTGGGGGGGGGAGAAGCCTATGCAAAATAGATATGGCGACCTTCGTCAGTGCGAGAATTTGGGAGCATAGACACAAGCCTAGCAGGCGCGTGCGTTTGTGCATCCGTCCGATAAGGTCACAAAACCTGTCGCTAAGCCGCGTAAGCAAATGTGCGCTCTGATTGGCTGACTGCAACCGACTCTTGCATTTAATTGGCCATAATGGCGAAGCACGCTTTGGCACGCTCTCGCCCCGAAAATTGATCAAATCGAGGGCTCAGCACTGGCTAGCTCTACTGCGGACAATTCTAACAACTAAAATTCCTCGGCCACACAAACATTAGCTATGGAAGAACACTCGGAGACTGTAGATGTGCCCGCTGAAGCCGAACCCTCCTTAGAGGCCTCCTCCCCGGGTACACCCAAGAACGAACCGCCCAATGATGGTCTCCAGTGCGGTGAAGTATCAGAAGAACCATGTGGTACCAGCAGTGGCGAGGGTGAACAACAAGATGCAGGCAGTGCTAATGAAGCTCCTTTAAACAACCTTGAAAACACGGATGAGCATGAACCACTCCACGCAACAGCTGACTGTGATTCGAGTTTGCCAGAAACTTCAATGGGAGTGGAGGATAGTCAAGACCATGCCTGTGTTGAAGTGAGTGCAGAAGTAGAAGACCTTCAGCCTACCAGTCTCGATCAAACAACAAATGATCAAGACGAGCCTGTCACAACTTCTACAGCCTATGAGTCCGCGGAAACCCATGTGCAGAATGGCTATACCGTCGAAGAAGGAACAAACGACACTGCTCAAGCGGAATTAAGCCAGGCTAATCCTCATAGTAATGAAAATAATGAAGTTCTTGGCAGTGAAGCCGCAGTCGGAGGTGACTCGGGTGAAACCGCTGCTTATGATAATGGAGAGAGGGATGATAGTGAATTGCCCACACATCAGGATAAGGAGGAACCAGAGATGGGTGATGCAGAAACCTCCTCAACAAAGTCCCAAAACTCCAGTTCCTTGTGCGTCGACGCTTCTTCGCCGGCTGATGCCCCAGAGAGTATGCACGCAGAAGAAAGCCAGGACACCTGCTGCAATGAGCCCGTAGAACACAACGAAAGTGTCCAGGAGAATGATGTCACAATGATTTCAGAATCTCAAGTTGAGTCCTTGGTACCGAGTCAGGTGGAAAATGTTTGTGAGCAACCTCAGGTGACTCAGGATGACCAAAGAGTCACCACTGAAGAAAAGCAGCCTATTAAACCTAATGAATATCCTGAAATCAACTGTCAGGATTCTGTTAGTCAAACATCAGAGGATAGGGTCGCTGCCCAGCCCTGTACCGAAATGCCAGACAAGATTGCTGACTACGTCCAGTCAAAAGACTATAGTCCTGATGTCGAGCAGCAAAATAAGGAGGATGAGAAGGTGGAAACAAGCTCATTAAAGGCTGAACCGGCTGAAGTGTTATTGGCTGAGAAGAAGACTTCGGGTAAGGAGGATTTTGAAGCCAGGTATGCTGAGTTTGTGGGACGCATTCTGCCGGGTCACGACGTCTATCATGCCGAAAGAGAACAGGAACTTCCCCGCGGGGGCACCTTACACAGGCATGCCGATGCCCACTCCCCCTACGCAGTACTATGGGACACCTCTAACGTTTCAGTGCGCGCCAAGGCGGCCACCCTGGGTGCCAAACCA